TGTGTGTGTACACTCATTTTGTAAATGTGAAAGTTTGTACCTCTATATATGTATGTTTGTTACGCAATCTCTTCAAAACGGCAAAAGGATCGGGATGAACAGACACAGGTTACGGTCTTGAATAACACACATCGGCTACTTTTTATGTCACGGGAACGCGAACGAAGTCGCGTCTAAAACTAGTAAATAAATGTCAAAAAAAATGAGCAAGAAACCACATCTATACATATTATTACATATGTATATTTGTTAAGTGAAAACCATAAGTAGCTACATAGGTATTACAATACCATGCACATTTATAATGTTCCTCTTCACTATCAACATACGAATCTTCTGTAAAGAAACGTAAAGGCCGCGACGCCCTGGCCACTGGCGACGTGAGTGGCAGCTCCTGGCCGCCGCCCCGCCGCCGCTCGCCTCCATACTTCCGCCATCGCCGATGTGCTCTATTCTGTGACACGCCATTATAAAAATCTGGCACAAATGAAATTGTACATTTATAAAAAGCCTAGAAATGTATAAAAATCTACAGAGTAGTGATGATTCCCAAGTATCCATATATCATACTAGCTGTTGCCCGCGACTTCGTCCGCGCAGAATAACTTCTGGCAGAATTTAGGCTTTTGATTATTAGACTTTACCAAGGGACATTCTACGGTAACAAATAGAATAGAATAGAATAGAATAGAATAGAATAATTTATTTGCATTGAATGTAGGTACATAATATAAGGTCTTACAAAAGTATATTGTTCCTGGTACATTCTACCATATGGCATGCAATTTTTTTATTTTTTAAATCTTAAAATCTATGAACATAGTGGACTATAATACCTACTATGTAAGTTATCTATAAGACTATTATAATTATTAATGGATGACATAATCCTAATAATATTTGAAAATTTACCAAATTCACAAAATATAGCTTAAGCAACTTACAGCAAATCAGTCTATATGTTATCGAATAAAAAATCTGACACAGAATAGTAACACTTTTGTAATAACAAAGATGCAAGTTGTTTTTTAAAGATTCTCAATGGTTGCTCCTTAATGCTACTCGGAATCTTGTTATAAATGATAGGTGCCATACCTAGGACACTTTTTTTTAATAAAGATGTTCTGTAACCACCGGTACATAGCTTGTCTTTATATTGAGACCTTATAGTTGTATTCCGGTTAGTTGTATCCTTTAAAGTAGGGAATAATTTGATGTTACTTTTGACAAAAATAGATAGTTCTAATATGTAAATGCAAGGAAAAGTTAATAGTTTACTATTTACAAAGTAAGTTTTGCAGCTGTCTGTAACATTTAGTTTAAACATAGCTCTTAAACAGCGTTTTTGGGCTTTAAAAATATTTTCCCGCTCACAACAATTGCCCCAGAATATAACACCAAATCTCAGATTTGACACTACCAAGCCATGATAAGCGACTAGTATTGCATCAATGTTTACTTTTTTTGAAAGATTATGCAGTACATATGCCGATGAACCTAGTTTTTTGCAAATAGATTCTGCTTGAGGTTTCCATGTAAGATGGTTATCAATTAGGATGCCTAAAAATTTGGCTGTTTTTGCTTCGTCGATTATTTGACCATTATAATTTATATTTAGGTTTTCAGTTTTTATACGTTGGTAAAAATGCATAGCCTTAGTTTTAGCTATATTGATTAATAAGTTATTATTATTAAGCCAGTTGATTATTGTTTTTAAAGCATTATTAATATCTATTTCGTAGTCCTCTTTGTTAATACAATTAATTATAGCTGTACTGTCGTCGGCAAACAATACCATTGGATTAGAAACTTGACGAGGCAGGTCGTTTATATAAAGTAAGAAGAGTAACGGTCCAAACACGCTTCCCTGGGGTACACCAAATTTTATGTATCTATAGGAAGATAAATATTTTATTTCCTTCTTAGATTTCATACAGACTCTGGAAACTTCGGTCACTTGCTTACGATTGCTTAAATAAGATTCTATTAGATCAAGAGCATTTCCGCGTATGCCATAAGCGTTTAGTTTTGACAAAAGCTTTTTATGATTAACGTAATCAAAGGCTTTTGACATGTCTGTATAAATTGCACATACAGGTGTTTTAGTATCAACGTTTTTCATAACATTATTTAACAAATCATATACAGCCATATTTATGTTTTTGTTCTTTCTAAAGCCTTTCTGTTCGTCGCAAAGAATGTTAAATTTGGTTAGAAATTTATACAGGGATTCATAAATAACGTTTTCGAATATTTTTGAAATTATTGGAATTAAAGCAATAGGTCTGTAGTTTGCCATATTCTCTTTATCGTTCTTTTTGAAAAGAGGTTTAACCACGACGCTTTTTAAACTGTCAGGAAATATTCCAGTACTGATACTGTTATTGATGATGTGACATAGTGGGGCAGCTATGTTCTTAGATACAAATTTTATTACGTTTGTTGAGATACCGTCATAGCCGAAACTCTTCTTATTCTTTAAATGCCTAATTATTCTCATTATATCTTGTGGTGCAACTGGAGACATAAATATGGAGTGATTATTACATTCTATCGGCACACTATTGTCTGTTGCGATTTTAGGTACTTCTGAGATTTGATCGATAAAGAAGTTATTAAAGGACTCAGCGATTTCCTGAGGATCGTATATTAATTTACCATTTTTAATTATTTGAGAGATAGATTCACTTTGTGATTTTTTTATGTATTATTTGCCACGACGTCTTTGACTTGTTTGTCGAATTTTTAAGCATGTAGTTATTTTGTGCCTTTTGAGTTAACTTAATAATATTTTTAAATCTGCGCGCGTACGTTTCAAATTTTATTTTATTTTCATCTGTTGGTTTTAGACGCTTCTGCCAAAGGAGTTGTCGCTGCCTTTTACTACAGATACGAATACCTCGTGATATCCATTTTATTTGTTTATGTGGTTTTATTAATATTGATTTATAAGGGAAACACGAGTTGTACAAAGATTGAAATATATCTAAAAAGTTATTATAAGCTAGGTTGGGGTCATCTGTGTTGTATACATTAGAGAAAGATAGAGATTGGAGATAATTATTAAATTTATTCAGATTTTCCTCACACATGTCACGCCTTTTTATCCGCCAAGATTTAAGCTGACAAGTTTTATTTACTTTTATCTTTATTAGCTGAGCCGTATGATCTGATAAAGCGAAGTCAAATACTTCGTGATCACATTTTTGATTCGTATTGTGTGCAAAGTTATCCAGGCAAGTAGCACTACTAAGTCTGGTCGGTTGGGTGATAACAAGTTTAAGGTTAAAACTCAACAAGCAACATTCGAAATCCAATGATATGTTGTTCTTTTTTAATGTGTCTATGTTAAAATCTCCACAAACAATAACTTTTTTATCCTTCCTAGAACATAGTATTCTTAAAATAGATTCGAATTTTTCATAAAATGTATTTAGGTTTGATAATTTTGGTGGCCTATAAACACATAAAATAATTACTTTTAATTTTATTAGTTCTATAGCGCAGCATTCTATAATACCAGCTATTGAGTATTTCGTTACATCCGGGACTTCCCGATATTCATGACCTTTTTTAACCAGAATGCAGGCACCTCCGCGTTTTTTGTTGTGTCTTGAATAACACGCAGCAAGTTCGTAGTTCGTTATGTTCAATAATTTTTCTTGGCCAGATATTATAAAGTGTTCTGTTATACATATAATATCTAGAACTATTTGTTTGCTTACTAATTCTTCGATATGCACAGTTAAGATATCTGATTTATTAAGTAGGCCTGCAATATTTTGGTGCAAAATATAGATATTATCAAAATAGAAAAAACTTATCATTTTCGTTACAAGTAATGTGCTCTATATTATCATTTAATCCCAATCTTGAAATAACATTACTTTGCGTTTTATCTAACAGCAAATGTTGGAGGTTATAGAAAACATTTTTAATCCCACCATTATGTATTTTCCCTGTGTATCTCGAAAACATAGTATAGTCACAAACAAGATTTAAGTTAGAGTCCAGTACAGTAGCATACTTATTTGTATGTATATCTAGAGATAACGCATTATTAAACGTTTCTACACGTATGTTGAATAACGTAGAATAGTCGCTACACTTGTAAGTTGGTAGACACAATATTACATTAGTATGCTGAACTTTTTGTAAACAATTTCTTATGTCTATAATTAACTTATCATAGTTCTTAGTCACTAGAAAGTCTTCTTCACCAATTAAAACTACACAAAAGTCATTTGCCGAGTAGGTAGCTAGCTTCTTATGCAGGTCTTGCAGTAAATGTTGAACGCCACAATGTGGATATAAAAAGTGGCAAATTTGATAGTTCGATAATGTTTGTTTAGCAATGTTCAGTATGTTATTAGTTTTATTGGCGCTAATGATACACACTTTCCTCTTTTGTTTCACATATCCCTCGTTTTGCGTTTTGTGTTGAATTGTATCATCAATACGGGGAATGTTGACATGGGTATTGGGAGCGATGTGCAAGCTTTGCTTTGGTGTAGACGTCAGTGGCGCAGGTGGTAATTTGTATGTACTGGGTGTTTTGTTTTTACATGTTATCTGTTTCTTCCCTTCTTTTTCGGATTTTAAACTGATAATTGTTTCCTTAAGTTTCTTGTTTTCTATAGACAAGCTATCCAATTTCTCGTGAGCAGTTTCCAGTAGTGTGGTAAGATTTTTAACCTTTTGTTCAAGTTCTTGTATTTGTAGTTGTATAGAGCTTTCATTTCCAGATATTGAATTTCCAAAAAAATGTCGTCAGACTTCATTCAGTACTTAGGTTATACTAATTGTGAAATTAATTTATTTTCGTGGTTTCAAAAAATAAGCAATCCCAACAATCAGGTTTCAAACCGAACAGAGCTCGCCTCGTGAGGTTTCAGTGATTAAAACTATTCACTGATTTAAAAGATGCAGAGTGCCGAAATTTTAACGCATATCCCCGTTGCAGTGTGATTTTCGGAATAAAGACTATCATACTTCGTTTCCTAGGTGTCAAACTATCGTTGTACCGATTTTTTACCCATTTCAAAAAAAGGAGGAGGCACTATATTCAGATGATTATTTTTTTTGTTTGTTCACCAATTACTCCGCCATTTATGAACCGTTTTGTTTTGTTTGATTTTCATAAGGTTAGGATCTGATGATGAAATCCTAGGAAAAATGCTTAATAGATGCCTAATATTAAGCTGTTGACAATTTTGTGACTATTAAGTTATATCACCTAGCCTATATGTTGACCCGACCTGTCAGTAATAATCATACAAAATTTGAAGTAGATCCATGCAGTAATTTTTGAGATCATCCCGGACATATGTATGTACATACAGACAAACAGGTAAAAATTCTAAAGTTCATATTTTGGCTTCAGTATCGACTGTAGATCACGCCCAAGTATTCTAGTAAAAAAAATATTCAATGTAGGTACGATTTTGACTTTTCTACGATTTTATTATATGTTGTGAAATAAATTTATCGTGGTTTGAAAAAATAATCAGGGGATTTTATCAGTGCAGTCCCTGTTCCCGTAAGGTTTTAGTAATTAAATGCATTCTATCGACTATTGTTGTACTGAATCTCTCTAAAATAAAATCAATGGTTAAGAGATAGAGAGCCTAGCTTTAACGGATAGTTCCTATTCACGTGGGACTTCTGTCATAAAAACTATCATACATCGTTTCTCAGGTCTCAAATGATCGTTTTACTGAATCTAACTCAAAAAGATTCAAAGATTTTAGATTCATTCGCTAAGAAGATTTATACAAACTGTCATGTCCTATTTTATTCTATAGGGGGTGAAATAAATTTATCAAATTCTTTTCTTAGGAGATGCCTACGTCATAGTAGCTTTATGCATGCAAAGTCTCAGCCCAATCAGTTTAAAATTTCATACAAACTTTCATCCTCAAATTTGTCTTCTTGGGGGTAGAATTGATCAAAATCTTATCTTATGGGATGCCTTCATCAAAACATTTACCTGCATGCAGAATTTCAACATGGTCGATGCAAAATTGATAAAGTTTCGTATAAACTTTCATTCCCTATTTTATCCCGTTGGGGGATGGAAATGATCAAAATTTATCTTATGGGATGCCAAACATTTACCTGCATGTCAAAATTCAACCCGATCAGTGTAACACTGACTAAGTTTCATACAAACTTTCATCCCCTATTTTACCCCATTGGGGGTGGATATTACCAAAATCATTTCACAGCGGATGCCTACGTCATAACATCTATCTGCATGTCAAATCTCAACCCGATCGGTTTAAAATTGACAAAGTCTCATACAAACCTTCATCCCCTATTTAACCCCCTTGGGGGTGGAAATTATCAAAATCCTTTTACAGCGGATGCTTACGTATTAACATCTATTTGCATGCCAAATTTCAACCCGATCAGTTTAAAACTGACAAAGTGTCATACAAACTTTCATCCCCTTTTTTACCCCCTTGGGGGTGGAAATTATCAAAATCCTTTCTTAGCGGATGCCTACATCATACCATCTATCTGTATGCCAAATTTTAGCCCAATCCGTCCAATGGTTTGGGCTGTGCGTTGATAGATCACTGTGTCAGTCAGTCAGTCATTCATTTGAATTATATTAGTATACTAGCTGTTGCCCGCGACTTCGTCCGCGTAGATTAATGACTTCTGACAGAATTAATCAGAATCAATTCAGTGCCTAAGTAAGATTTACCTATTTTGAAATGATTTATCGTTTTGTAGGAATTTATGAAATAAAGAATATTTGCAGCGTGATTTATAGTTTAATTAGGAAACTTAAGTTTTTACAATCGTTCACAAGATGAGTTACAAAGGGGACAAGAGAGCGCCATCTAGAACTGTCAAAATACAGGAACTAATATGGTTGCGTTCCAATTCCAATAAGTTTCAATAAATAAATAATCCCGCAGGGATCTGACCAGTACAGTGCCCGATCACGTAAGATTTGAGTAATAAAAACTATTCTATCGACTATTGTTGTACCGAATCTCTCTAAAATAAGTTCAGTGGTTAAGAGTTAGAGAGTCCTGGGGCATTGACGCATAGTTCTCGGTCCCGTGGGACATCTGTGATAGAAACTATCAAACGTTACCTAGGTCCCAAATCATCGTTCACCGAATGTAATTCAAAAAGATTCAATGAATCTAAATTCAATGGCTAAGACGATTTATACAAACTCTCATTCCCTATTTTATCCCCTTAGGTGTGGAATTTATCAAAATCCTTTCTAAAGAGATACCTATGTCATAGTAACTTTATGCATGCAAAGTTTCAGCCCGATCAATTTAAAACTGGCAAAGTATCATACAAACTTTCACCCCCTATTTTACCCACTATGGGGTGAGCATGTTCAAAAACCTTTCGAAAGGGACGTTTACGACATAATATCCATCTGCACGCCGAATTTCAACCCGATCGGTGTAAGAATGACAAAGCTTCATACAAACGTTCATCCCCTACATTACCCCATTGGAGGTGGAAATAATCAAAATCCTTACTTGGGGATGCCTACGTCATAACATCTACCTGCATGCCGAATTTCATCTGCATCGGTGTAAAACTGACAAAGCTTCATATAAACTTTCACCCCCTATTTTACCCCCTTACGGTTGGAAATGATCAAAATCTTTTCTTAGCGGATGCCTATGTGATAACATCTATCTGCATGTCAAATTTCAATCCGATCGATTTAAAACTGACAAAGTCTCATACAAACTTTCATCACCTATTTTACCCCCTTGGGGGTGGAAATTATCAAAATCCTTTCTTAGCGGATGCCTACGTCATAACATCTATTTGTATGCCAAATTTTAGCCCAATCTGTCCAGCGGTTTGGGCTGTGCGTTGATAGATCACTATGTCAGTCAGTCAGTCAGTCAATCACCCTTGAATTATATATATATAGAAGATATAGATAGATGATAGATAGATAGATATGTACATAATTATGTATGTACTTGCGTACATTACAGTAATAATAATAATAAGCCCGCAGGGCACCTTGAGGCGAGGTGACGGGCATTAGCGATCCCGCGGGCTACCATCATCCCGAGTGCTCCAGGTAGAAGTCACCGTTCCTTCTTCTCCGGCTTGCCTTAATTGGCTGGCTGGAGTGAACGATGACAAGGGACAGGTCTCCCACCTCTGGCTTGCCTTCATTGGCCGTCCAGAGTGGAGTCGCGAGAGCAGTGAACCTGCTCGGAGGGTAAGAAACTATTCGTAAGTCGCGAGTGGGCCAGGGATGCAGGAGGCTTCGGCTGGAGCAGATGATCTGAGTAGAAAGCGGTGGTAGTTTCTTAACCCTTCAGCCACTCACATTCTCGTTGCCCCTCTGTTGCTATATCTAGCAACCATTCCCGGGGCCCGGTCGGTGAGTTGGCGAGTCTCCGCCTGCCATTTTTACGTGTAAAAATTACATTGTTTCGGCAGGTGTCATAGTCATCCATAGTTCCCAATTTACCAGTCCACAGCAACCCATCCATAGCCATACCTTATTTTTTTTTTTTTTTCCATTATTCACAATAGTCCTACACTAACCGGGGACTGTCCCTGGGTGCATTTCCATAGTGCATACAGGGATAGTCGCCGGTTTGTGTGTCCATTACATTTATATTATAGTTGTCTAAAGGGCCTCTGCGCAGCTGGCTTCGGCCCCTCGTACGCCTTCCAAATGACCGGGACCCTGTGGTCCCGTGAATGGTAAAGACATACATAATAATAATAAACGTTTATTAGCGCTTCATAGAATTAACACAGTGAAGCCCTGGCTCTTGTACTAGGTATCCCTGTATCACAAGAGCCAGAAATACAGTATTACATAGTTCACCGTAGTAAGGTAGTTAGATAAATTCCTTGCACTCCATTTGAACAGGTTACACAAAGGAGTTATACATTTAGACAACTTGTAGTGGCGGTAAGCCCCGTCATGGAGGTGTGGATCGGTAGAAGAAGACAAAGTATCCTAACTTTCCGGTTGACGCCGCTGTGTTACCTCTCTCTCAATCATCTCAATAACCAGTCGATCGACCTCAATACAAAAGGCCTGCCGGTGACTGACTAGGGGAGCCATCCACTGCAAGGGTGGGAGTAGGCGGTAGCCTAGTGTTCAACGTGCACCACTCTTAAAAGGGAAGCAGCCTCCAAGAGCCGCTAACGTGGCGGGACCTGCCGTAAATACACCGATAGGTCGAGGCCTGCCGGGTGCGGTGATTCCGCAAGAGCGACCCGAGCGAAGAGGAGGAACACCACGATTTCTTTAACCGGTTAGAGTCCGTAAGACCCGTTGCCCCCACGACGAGCGAAAAAAAAACAAAGCGCAAGGACTTCCATCGTGTAAAAAAAAATATAACGTTGTAGCAAGCACACTTTAATTTGTATTAGTTTAGTGAAGCAGAAAGTTGGCTCGTTGCGGCTAGTGTCCGGTGTGGCGCACTACTTGTGAAACTTGCCCGTATGGAGTGCCGATATAAAGCGATACGACTGGCTTTGGGAACATTAATCATGGCGCCGCGCGCCGGCCTCCGCGGCCCCGCGGGGACGCGTACGATATAAATTAGTCCGGTGTCATGTAATTCTTACGTTCACTGACTACGCGTCTTGAGATATGGCGACAAAAGTTGTAATATAAAGACTTTATTATATTACTAGCTACTGCCGCGCGGAATTTTTCAGATCGGACCAATTTTCTTATCCTGAGATTAGCGCACAAACAAACAATCGATTCACTTTGACTTTAAATAAAGTACGTATGTATGTGTGAGTTAGCGTTTAGTATATGAGTATAGCATAAGAGATAAGGTAAGATTTCTCTGCTTTTATTGACAATACAGCACTGCTGCGGGTGTCCGTATGGCGTACTCGTGTACCTGCAGTTCATTCACTAATAATTTAAAGCATTTGAGACACGTTTTAATATTTGATGTAAAGGGATCAAGGAAGTCGCTAAAGTTACTTGTTGCCGTTAAGTTTTATTGAATTTGGAGTCCGGTCGAGCGAAGCCTCGCTAAAACTTAGCCATCGCATCGTATAAATTTACAACGGACGAGTCTCCGTCAGCCGGCATGGCACACCGCGGTCGCCCCGCAGTCGCCCCACAGTCGCCCCGCAGTTGCCCCGCAGCCGCATCGCGACCGCACTGTAACCGCACCGCGACCACTCCGCATAGCACTACCGCTCATTTTCACTTTCATACATTTCAAAACAAATCTGAAAAAGTCAACAACAATTTGTTTAAACAACAATTACATTTATTTCTTTTTTGGTTTATCCACGACGAAGCGGCGGCAGTGCGGTGAGCTGATTACGGGATTTTATGTTTTGACTCGCACAAACATTCAGTCCACACAGGCTAGGCCTTTATGTGACAGAACAGTTGTCATTTGAACGATAACCCAAATAAATGGACAGCGCTAAGTTGAAACACTCACCGCCGACCGAGTTACGGAACCCAAATCCCTCGCCGGGAGTTGTGGCCACCTGACGAGTTTTTACTACAGTTCTGTGTTGTTAGTCCACCTGTTTGTTTGTCCTTATTATATTTAAACTCTTTGTTTCAGGAAATCGTGTCAACAACGTCGCGCGTCGCCGAGTAGCAACTCAGAACTCCTGCTGATGTAGTTCGGCTCGCTTCCTGTGTGCTTAGCGCCAAAAAGGATTTATTTCAACTAAACCATACACATATAAGTACTTTAGGATTGTCATTAATATAGAATAATCAGTCAGTCTGTCTGTCAGTGAAGCTCGTTTCAAAGTATACATTCGAATGGAGAGGAACGAACAATAAACTTCCTCTCTACTCTTTTAAAATGTACAGGGTAATATAGTACATCTACTGACGCACTTTCCGATACTTCTCAATCAGATATAATACAGTCGCCAGCTCATAGTAAACCTAACGAAAGTCACCATTAACGCAGTGAACGTGGTTGTACCTGCGGGTGGTTGGTAGGTACGGCAGCAGCACCGCGACCGCGGCAGGATGTAACAACGTTTGATCTAAGCGACAAAGGTCGCAGCGTGGCGTGCCGCGCGCCGCCGCCGCGCCGCCGCGCCGCCGCGCCCCCGCTCCGCCGCGTCACAATCTCGGCTGACAACAACACATGACAAACTGTCCGCGGCCCTCTCCTGTCGGTTACAAATGACGGGCCAAAGTGAACAGACACTGCCTATGTATTTCTTTCATGCACAACAGAGCGTGTAAATAAAAGCAACCTTGTCTATGAATAAATAAAATTGAACATCTCAAAACAAATTATGACATAAAAATGAAATATGTAAATGAGCACGCATGTCGTGGCTCACTTTATGATATGCTAGAATATTTCATGGAATGTTTGACTGGGTAGTGTGTTTATGTATTGCCACAATATTACTATCAATGATTCATGGTGCATCTGGCCAACTAAGAGCGCGAATACTTTTTGAACGAGTCAATAGTCAAGATTATGTAGTTACATAACATCATAATATAACATCACACCTTTTATCCCCGAAGGGGTAGGCAGAGGTGTGCATTATGGCGCTTAATGCCACTGTACAATGTAACACCCACTTTTCACTATTTTTGTAATAGGGGGTGAGCCTATTGTCATATACCCAGACTCCGTGCTGCTACTGAGAATTTTATTAAAAACCCAGTAATAGTTTGGTCGACCCGGGAATCGAACCCGAGACCCCTTGCTCCAGCAGTTAGACTTACGACCAATCGGGCAACGAAGCAGTCAAGTTATTACAATAAAAATTATCAATTAATATTTTGATGATAATTATCATTTATTTACTTATTTATTAGCTTTCGCCAGAGGCTTCGCCCGTGTATATACTTCGAGATAAAAACTACCCTACGTAATGGCCAGGATATTAAAGTATAGTCATACGAAGTTTTGTCGTAGTTATTGCATGATACGTGAACACACAGACAGACAATTTGTTTAAATATATTTCTGTTCGGTATCTATCTAGTCTATGTGATGTATAGATAGATATAGACATTTAAAGGTCTGTGCTCATATCACTAACTTGGGGTAGTGTATGTCGTGTTCTACGGTGTGTTGGGGTGAGGTTAATTGAAACGACTATATCCGATCATGGTTTATTCACGACTCTCAATACATGCATCGCGGGCGCAGCCGCGCGTTATAGTAAATTTGCTGACATAGCGTGACGTGTACCTACATTGTGTCCCTACGGACAATTCTTTGAATATAAGTTTTTGTTATTATTTTATTCAACTTCCCAATAAGTAGAAGTTCGTCAATGAGCCGTATGATATTGTATGTTTGTTACGCGA